TTTTTGAGGACTTGGGCAGCTTGGGCTCTAAGGCAGCTGGGAAACAGCAGTGCTTTGAGAAATGAGTCCATGGTGGGAACCAGCAGTTAGCATAATGGCTATGTCACTGGACTCCCATGTAGTCGACCGTGGTTTGAGTCTTGGACCCGATGGCTTAAATTCACGCCGAGCGCTTGTGCGTGCGTGCCTAAGATCCTGAGAGGAGAATGGAGGAGAAGGGATTGCGGCGTGGCCATCCCCCCAGGAGGTGACTCCTCGCTATCTGTCTCCCTGTCTCTCTCTGTCTTTCTGGTGAGCACACGTACCCTATAGCAAAAACCTCTCTAAAAAAAAAAAGAAGAAATGAGTCCATGGAGCCTGAGAGCCAGAACCGCATCTTCATGGGTGGGGGACTTCTCCCTCGCCCTAACGGTTCACAACTTCTGGTCATTCCATTGACTTCCTGCCTGTAACTGAGGAGTCTTGAGGAAATGAGGGTAGCGAAGAGATCAGAGATGGCCACTAGTCCTAGGGGTTGGAGTCAGTCCCCCTTTTCATCTCCCAGCTGCAGGTATATTTGCAAGTACTTCAAGCTGAAGTTTTCTAAAACTCCAAGCCTCTAGATTTGCTGAAGTCACTTTTTTGGTTGCCACTGACCGAGCCAGAGGCTCTCTGGGAAGTTTGGGGATGGTAGTGGTGAGTAGGCCCGCTGAGGTTTAGCAGGACGGCAGCCATTATGAAATGACAGGCCGGGAACCAGCAGTTAGCGTAATGGCTATGTCGCTGGACTCCCACGTAGTCAACCGCAGTTTGCATCCCAGACCCAGTGGCTTAAAACTCACACCGGGCGCGTGTGCGTGCGTGCCCAAGATCCCGAGAGGAGAATGGAGGAGAAGGGATTGCGGTGTGGCCATCCCCCCTGAAGGGTGATTTCTCGCTTTCTGTCTCTATGTCTCTCTCTCTCTCTCTGTCTGACGAGCGCACGCGCCCTATAGCGAAAACCTCTCCAAAAAAAAGAAAAAAGGAAAGAAAAAAAGAAATGAAGACAGGTCTCCGACTAGAACAAGCTAAGTACTGAGTCATGGTAAGGGGGTCTGTTGGAGGAATGGTCGGATGAGAAACCGGGAGTGGGTATTTGAAGAAAAACAGGAACCAGGATAATTACTCGGGAAAACGATGGATTTCGATTGTAGTGAGGAATGATTTGCATGTGCTTGAATCTAGTCTATACATTCTGGAAACATGTTGAGTTTTTTGACAGTGTGGTGGCACTTTCTGCCTGTCTCCCTGTGACCTGGTGGCAGAAATAAACTCCCAGTCCAGCCTCTGCCTCTCGTTTCACTGACCCTGAGTAGAAGCAGCTGGATTCAGTGTGCAGTAACAATGGCAGAGCACTGCAGGCTCCACAGGCTCTCATGAGGCTCTGGTACTCATTTACAGGAACAGCACCTTCATTCTGCTGTCACTTGGGCCAGCCAAGAGAGGCAATTGGCCATCATCCTAGAGGAAAGGAGGGGTGTTGATTTCTGACTCCAGCTTTTCATGATCAGCACAGGCCTGCCCGCCTCTCCTGCTTCTGCATCGCAGAGGATGTTGAGTTGGCTAAACTGCACAGGCCAGCTCCAGTCAACTGGTGAGACTGAGTGAACCTCTGATGAAGTGGGACCGTCCTCCATCCCCTTCCCCAACTCTCGATGAAACCATAATCTATACCATTGGCTGTAAAAAAGTTCGAGACCTGGAGCAGGAGTGGAAAATTCTAGTACCTGAAAGCTTAGGCCTAGTGGCTCTCAAAAAGTGCGGTCCCCAGTCTAGCAGCAATGGAGTCACCTGAGAACTTGCTAGTGAGGATAGATTTTGGACTGTCTTCCTATTTCAAGAGTCTCTCTAAGAGGCCCTGGGGAAGTCACACCTACAAACATTAATCTGGCTATAACAGACCCCTTTGATGCAGAGCTTTGGGATGTTTCCTACACCCTGACCTTGACATAACGTGACACTTACTAAAGCCTTCTTGTCTCCGTTAAAGACTGTCCACTCTGAGTCTTTTGGAGACAAAGACTTGTGCTTTTAACCAATTAATAACCTAATAAGATTTTTTTTAAGAGAGATTTTTGCTTTAGGGCATGTGTACTCGCTAGAGAAACAGAGACAGAAAGCGAGAAATCATCCCCCAGGAGGGATGACCACATTGCAGTCCCTTCTCCTCCATTCTCCTCGGGATTTTGGGCACGCATGCACACCCGTCTGGTGTGAGTTTAAGCTGCTGAGACCGGGACACAAACTGTGGTCGATTACGTGGGAATCCAGCAGCATAACCATTATACCATCTGCTAGTCCCTAACCTAAGAATTTCTAAACCTACGTATAACCTGTAAGTCCCTGCTTCCCAATGTTCTGCCTTTTTGGGCCAGGCCAATGAAAAGGCCCCATGTGCTGA